AAAAAAAAAAAAAAAAAAAGAAGGGAATGAAAGAAGAAAACACTAACAAATTAAATTTACACATCATTCGTAAAATACATTCCAACTTCAGAATACTAGTGTTCAAAATTGTATGTATTAGAAGGGAAAACATATGGGCATTTCAATAGGATGATAAGAGCATTGATAGATACACGTGGATTATACAGAAACAGTACAAACAGTAAAAGGGATTAGCTCTGTCTCAGTAAGGAACTAAGGTAGGAAGAACTGAGAACTAAGTCAGACTTAAAGAATGAATACAAAATTTCACCAAGCAAAGGAGAAGGAGTTGGGGTGTTTTTAGGGAAAGCACACACCTAGCATACAGGTACAAAACTGAATTTAACATTCAGGTAACTGCACACACAGTAGTTTTAAGTAGCCAATGCATCTCATATGTTATGAGGGTGGGAGGGAGTGTCAACAGAGTTTATGTGTTGCTAGGAAACTTAGAATTTATCCTACAAACCAAGCATCAGCAAACATTTTCTATAAAGTATCAGATAACAAATATCTCAGCTGTATGATTTCTGTCACAACTACTCAATTCGACCATTGTATTGCAAAAGACATTGCATAAACAAATGGGAGTAGTTGTGTTCCAATAAAGTTTATTTACAAAAACAGGTGGCAGTCTGGATTTGGCCCATGAGCCCTACTTTCCCTACTTCTGATAGGTATCCAACCTGCAAATGTACATATTTATCTATTTGTAAATATGTTTATTTTATAAATATATGTATTTATAAAATACACATATAGTATATGTAATGAAACATTTCCCAAAGTTAAAATATTTAAAATAAAAAGTATAAAATATAAACAGCATTACAAACACTCGATTTTAGAGAATGTTTGGTCAATATATGATAGCAGTTAAGATCTCAAGTTTGGGGGAAAAAAAATTGGAGTCTGCTACTTCCCTCATGTGTGATCTTGGGCAAGTAACTCAACCTCCTTATTCTCGGGTCCTTTTTTTAATCATTAACATAGAAATAAGAAATAATAATAGTGTCCTTTAGTAGTAGAAAAGAAAATAGATTTCAGAGAGGCCAGAATAGGTAAGACAAGAGAGTGCTACGTGTCCTATACTGGCCCAAGCATGCTTAAGCTGGGGGAGTGGGAATAAGAAAGAGAATGTTGCAAATTCAAGAGATATCAGGATGTGTAAATAGGCGTGAGGTAGAAACTAATTATATGGAGGAGAGAATAATTTCTATGTTCTTTGTATTTTAGACTTGGATGTCTGGATGGAAGACGATGCCATACACTGAGAAAGGAAAGGAAAAACATGTTTTGAGGAGACGATGAATTCAGCTGTGTATCAACATGCATTCTGAGGAACAGCATACAGAGATAACCAATGAGCAACTCTATCTGGAGGGCCAAAGGTTAGGAGAGCAAATAGAGCTAGATTTAGGAATTATCACCTATAGGTGATAATTTTTAATCAATTCCCAGGCAGAAATACTAAGTAACAAAAGCCATGAATAGGATAGTGGGCAAAATCAACATTTAAAAGACACAGTGAACACAGCAAAAAGATTCCAATACAAAGAATGCAAATAACTAAGGCAGAAGAATTAGGAAAGGCAAGGAGCATGGAAGTCAGAGGAAGACTTTCAAGAAGGAAGAAGAAATAAGCAGGTAACAGTAAAATAAGTAATGAAATGATATCCTTGGAATTGACAGAGGAGATTGCTAGCAAACCATGCAAAGTCAATTTTACAAATAGAGGTGGAACCCATTTTGCAGTGGGCAGAGGAAGAAATACCAGCTGAAAATGTGGTAAGTATGATTTCTACTGTAGAACTGTCTTTAAATAATATAAGTATTCCGTAAAGAATGAAAAACTCTACAGTTGTTAAAAGGTGAAGAAGTCCATTATCACATATACAAAAAAACTTCCAAAATTTTTTTCGTACCTGATAAGTAGCTAAGAAAAGCTCAATATTTTAAGTCCTCAAAGACTTACAACAAAAATAATTACATTTTATGAGGTATCAAAACATACAACAAATGTGTTGGTCTTTTTTCCAACAATTCCCATGTGCATCTTTATGAAATTTGATGAAGAAGCTAACAGCTTAGGATTGTTTAAAAATAAGTGATATTCTGGGTCAAATGATACTTACATTATATCACACGAAACTTAATGAAACTTAATGGCATACAAATAAAAATATGCTAAGGTTTGGATACAGTTTATTTGTCCTCACCAAACCTCGTGGTGAAATATTATCCCAACTATGGCTGTGAGGAGATGGGGCCTAGTGGGAGGTGTTTGGGTCACAGAGACAGGTCCCTCATGAATGGCTTGGTGCCCTTATTGTAGTAGTGAGTGAGTTCTTGCTCTCCTGAGGCTGGATTGGTTCTCAAGGGAATTGATTAGTTCAGACAAGAGTGAGTTTTCAGAACTCCACGACATCCCTTAAATTTGGTCCCCCTTTACACATCCCCACTCCCCAATTGACCCCCTTTACATTGTTTTGATGCAGCACAAAACTCCTCCCCAGAATTCAAGCAGATGCTAGAGCCATGCTTCCGGTACAGCCTACAGAACTGTGATCTAAATAAAGCTATTTTCTTTGTAAATTATCCAGCCTCAGGTATTCCTTTAGTGTAACACAAAACAGACTAAGAAAATATATTAATTAGAGGCCAGGCGTGGTAGCTCACGCCTGTAATCCCAGCACTTTGGGAGGCTGAGGTGGGCAGATCATGAGGTCAGGAGATCGAGACCATCCTGGCTAACACGATGAAAC